TATCTTTTTGTACAAACATTATACGGGTCACTATTATTATTCTAGTCTATATTTATTTACGCAGTTAATTGCTTCAAGTTGTTTGATATTTGCCGCCATTGTTGATAATCTGCCAATTTTATTACAACGCAAAACAAAAATTAAATTATTAATAGAAGTAATGCTCACAAACGAGCACACAGTCCACCTGGTAGTAAGTGAATGCTGTAGCCCATACACACCTATTTCTATCTTCGATTAAGAATCAAAATGCAGATGCGTTGTTACCCCTGAGCACTAACAAGGAATATCTGTAAAAAGTTTGGTCCACGTCGCACATTATACGAAGCACAGCAATATTATGCTGCTGTATCGAGCTAGTGTCCTGTTCAATCCTCGGCCGAGCTGACCTGTTAGTGCCGCAGTCGTATTCAGCAGCGTGGCCTTACTGTTTAGTTGAATAAATCCTAGAAACAAGTTTGCACTTTTTTCTAGAGAGTTAATTAATGCGATCGAGATAATCATTCTATATATTATGCTTATTATATGTTTGTGCCCCGAGCAGACAAACATACTTATCTAGCAGACATTGATTTTAAAAATATAAGTTCGTATATGCAGTATTATCAGTTCGTTCGTATGTGCGTTAAGAGTTAAGATGGGTAAAGGGTTGTGGAATGATTGGAAGGTTATCGTATTCAGGGGTGATTAAACATTGGTCGCTCACAAAATATTAATAATTTCTGTTATGGTAGCGGCTCGCAGGCACTATCTTTTGCATATGCAGGGTTATTTTTCTTCTGCATTACCATTATTGCAGTTATCGAAAATGGAAAATGAAAAAAGGCTTCTAAATTTATTTGAAATTTTCCCAAATTGAATTTGGCAACAAATTTTTATGGGCAACAATTACGCGTACTCGAACTCCTCTGTATGCGATTCAATTCACAACGTTCTTGTCGACCGATCAACCCTTACGAATGTGTGCGTGCGTAGTAATATAGAAGGCGTTAGATATTTATGAATGACAATTAGTTAAAATAATGCATCACCACGCATTTTGAATTTAAAAGACAAAAAGGACAGAATGTTTGAGATTTTTTAAACAATTTTTACTCACCATTTACCTATATTAGTTATGCTATACCTTCTCTGCAAAATTTGTCTGGTTATTGCAACATAACTTTGTCTGTATATATCTGCTTAACCCTTTATATATCTAATGAACATAGGCATCCTCGAATGAATGCTACAAAGCTACCTGCATCTATTAAATTCCATTCCTTACTAGTCATCACTCAATGTAGCAGTGGGCCGACTTACACTTTGTTTAGCCATCGGTTATAAACTTTCTTTTGCATTGTTTGTCGAATCTTTGAGCTATTTGGCAAGCCCATTGCCACTTCAGCTTACTGATCTATTGGACCATGTCGGTTACTCTACATTACTGCGGATATCTTCATTATAAAGTCAATCACGCAGAAATATAGCCCCTTCCTTTGTTCCCAGAGAGACCTTGAGCTTCCTCATACGGCCAGCAGTGAAGCTATTATGTTTTTAATTTAAAAAAAACATTACCCCCACACTACGATTTTCTCCTGTATCGTGGAGGCAATTTACAACCATAAATTGCACGAGGACAAACATCCAAACCAAACAAAGAATAACCAAAAACCAAAGCCATCCTTTTTAAATATACTGCAAGAGCAAGAGATAGCTTAGATATTAAATTAAATGATGAATGTATATCCACTGTAGATTCCGTAAACTTTTTGGGTATCCATATAGATTCTCTTCTTAATTGGAAACAAGAAGTAAATTTCATAGAAAAAAATATATCATGTTCCTGTTATGCTTTAGGAAGCTTAAGAGATGAGCTAACAATGAAGCAATTAGAAACAGAAACAAAAACAGAAACAGAAACTTTTTTATTCAATATAGATTATAAATAATACTTATTGAACGTCACTCTTTTGTATAATTACTACTGGTTACACATTAAAAATTGTATATTATGCTCTAGTAGAAACTCGTCTAAGATACAACATTAAATTTTGGGAAAATAGTTATGATTACAATCTTAAGAAGGCATTTATTATACAAAAGAGAGCAATAAGAACAATGGTGCGCATACCCCAAAGACAGTCGTGCCGAGAATACATGCGAAACCTAAAAATACTTACTGCGCCATGTCTGTACATTCTAGTTCTTCTTACAGACTTTGTTAAAAATTTAGATAGATATGATACCAGAGAAGAAAGGGTAAAGCGTCATGACACTAGGCGAAAAGATATTGCGAACCTGATACAACCTGATCAAGCGGTCAGACTATTTAATAAATTGCCAAATTATATAAACTGCATAACAAATATGATCCAATTTAAAAACAGATTGAGGTCGTATCTTCTGGAAAATAGTTTTATAGTGTAGAAGATTATGTAAATTCTAATTGACTGATGATAAAATATAGGTAAATAACTGACATATTCCTTTTTGTAATCGTATTATTTTGACATATTTCTTTATTGTAATTATATTATTTCCTATTATTGTGTAATTGTATTATTTTGATGTGGATAATTGATTGAGTATTGCATAAATGATAATGGTTTTTTTAATCTTATTGAATTAACTTGTAATTTCCAACACAATGTATTTTGTTATTAATGAAATAAGGACTAAATCCAGATCCGGAAAAATTATTTGTAGGTCATACAAACTTGTTCCGTACGGGATTCAAACCCGCGTCACCCAGCGCAACAACTCATTGCTAAGCCACTGCGCCACGGAGCCGTTATTTAATCGTCGTCAGTCTATTCTACAAAAAAATCACCTACATAAAGTACATTTTGGAACTACACAAAATCTTAAAGGGTTAGTAGACACTGACGGTCAATATTACAGAATGGGGAGGCGTTAACGAGTCAACAAAGTGCTGAAGAATTCGCGAGGTATTTCCACTCGGTGTATAGCACGAAACAGGCAGACTTGGACGTGAACGCGAGTATCATTAATGCTGGTGGAGGTAATGTTGGTGCGCGCGTGCATCTAGACCGCTTAAAACTAGGAGAAGTTAGAGCTGCGCTACAGCGTTTAAAGCCTAAGTCTGACGTGGGACTGGACGGCATACCTCCCTACGTATTTAGGGACTGCAGGGAAGTGTTGACTGAACCTCTAGTTCACATATATAACCTTTGCATTGAGTCGGCGGTGTTTCCCGAGAGGTGGAAAATAACACGAGTCGTGCCGGTGCCTAAGAAAGGTTTATCAACTAAAGTAGAAGGATATAGACCTGTAGCTGTCCTGTCAACACCGGCGAAAGTGTTGGAGTCTGCCATATATAAGAATGTACTCTCGCAGGTAAACACTCAGCTGACAGATGCTCAGCATAGCTTTCGACCAGCCGGAGTACCGCAAGCAACCTTCTGAACTACATAGCTGATATCATGCCGGTAGTGGACAGTGGAGTACAAGTGGACGTCGCTTATTTTAATTTCAAAAAGCTTTCGACTTGGTCGATAACGACGTATTACTTAAAAAGTTAGCAATCATTGGTTTAACTCCACACTTACTACAATTGTTTGCCAGTTACGTGAGGGACAGGCAACAATATGTGGAATACGCTGGATTCGTATGGAAACCATATTACACTCGATCTGGTGTGAGTCAGGGCAACAATCTCGGTCCTCTCGAGTTTACATGAATGATAAACGATCTGCCGAGTGTTGTGATTGACGCTAAATGTTTGCTGTTCGCTGACGACCTTTAGCTGTATCTACCGATCAGGGAACCGGAGGACTGTGAGAGATAACAACGCGACATTGTGGGTGTTGGCGTGGTGTGAGGATAATAGGTTGCAGTTTAATTCATCTAAGTGTGTAATGCTAACTTTTACTCGCGCACGCAATCCCGTGCGCTATACGTATGCACTGGATGGAGTAGCTATGCCACGAGTGAACGAGGTTAAGGATTTGGGTGTTTGTTTCACCTCAGTACTTAATTTCCAAAATCATACAGCGGACATCTGCAAGAAAGCGTATCGCAACTTAGGTTATATACTGCGCAGGGCTCGTTGTTTCACTAACATTATAGCCATTGTAGCACTGTATAACGCCTTAGTTAGGATCCAGCTTGAATGCAACGCGGTTATCTGGGCTCCACATGAAACTAAATATAATCTCATGATGGACAGAATTCAAAACAAATTTGTTAGATTTCTATATTTCAAATATTATGGAGTATATCCTTTTTACTCACTTATATATCCAACCTTATTCGTTTTAGGTATGGTGGGATATAATGAACTTCATGTTAGGTGGGACCTCGTACTGGTATCATATATTCTCCAAGTAATAAGAGGAAAGATAGACAATCCTTATTTCTTGGAGGGTATATATTTGAATGTCCCAGAGAAATACGTGTGGCGAAGGCGGCGGCCGCGGCTGCTGGCGGTGCCGCGCGCTCGCACCAACTTGCTGAGGGAGGCGACGCGCGCTCGCGCCGCTAGACTACTTAACCTTACCCATTAGGAAGTTGACATATTTGTATGTTCTGTGAGTGAATTCACAAGGGCTGCATTATTTATAATATGTTACTGTAATTAAAATGTTTACTGTTTTCACTAGCGCATTAGATCATTAGATCCTGTAATGTTAGTGATAAGTTTGGCAGAATAAATAAATATATAAAATTAAAATTCGTCGGAAGCTCAATACGTCTTAGATCTAAATACCATCGTTGGTTACGCGTACTATTCATACACTCGTGTTTTCAAGTTTTAAGGTGCACGTGACAAGAAAATGTAGCGTAATCTTAAAAACGCTCCTCAGTTGAGTTGTGTCAAAAGTCCGCTGCTGAACATAGACCTCTCCCATAGATTATCTCATAAGTGGGATATTTGTTACAGTTGCCATGGTCTACAGATAATTTTATTGCACATTTGTCGACCCGCGGTTGGTCAGCCCTGCAACGATATGTTTCTGGTCCCAGGACTTATCAAGATGGCGGGCGCGGGTCCCGTCAGTCAACTATACGGTGTTGAAGTTCTCGTTCCATTAATTATGTATTACTAATAAAACTACTTGTCGATATTAATCGGTTTACCTGAGCGCACTTCTGTTTACATCGTGCCTAACTGATAACAAAAGAGCACATATATGAGTACAGGTATGAAATAATTCGATTTTTTAATGTGATGTATATATAACAATGGTATATGTACATATATCGCTATTATAACAATGTCCCATAATAGTGCATGGTTTTTCGATTACAAAGTTTTTTAAAAAAAAAAAAGACTATAAATAGGGTTATTATATACATTATTATAGTGTTCGCCTCCAAGCTGTTTTTATATGAGTTTCGTAAATAATTTTACCATCTATTTAAACATTAAATGTTACAGAAGAAAAAAAAGTACTGCGGGTTTCTTTCTGATTCTTCCCAGTATAGAGGTGTTTTTTCGAACCAGTAGTCAAAACAAAAAATACTTTTAAATTAAACTAGTTTTTACGGATTTTATCGCGTATATTACTTACGCGTATTACTTACGCGTATCTTTTTAACATATTATATTTTATTCCTTCGTTTCGAGTACTTTAGAACACCCATAGTACAGCGGGACTGAGGTATTTGACGTCCCTATATTATCATAGTTAGTCACGCCTACCTTTAGTTATTTTTTTAAATATTAATAATTCATTAAAATATTTTTATTTATATTTTAATATTTAATATACGTTTCAACGTCTAATTACTTAATTATTTTATATTCGAGAGAGGCATTAATGAATATGTGCCATATAACCGATCTTAAATTATATATAAATAAATTATGTAGTAAATATAAAATTTTAAGTATGTCATTTTATTATTTAGAGATTAAAATATATTAAAACAGAAACAGATAATAATGTTAAAATTCTTGCTTTTTCTTTCAGTACTCTTATTATATAAACGAATTTTGTATTAATAAAATTATATGTGTATGTAAATATATTATTAAGAGATATAAATAACTTAAAACAGAGGTGGATCAATAAGATAAAAAATCTTGTTATTTATTTCAGTACCTATGCTTAATATATAAACAAATTTTATTTAAAATTATATACATATGAAATATAAGGAAACACAAGGTTCTCAGCGAGCTATGTAGAGGGTTATGCTCGGGGTTTCTCAGCGTTATAGACATATAGACTATACGCAGTAGAACCAGAAAAATCGACCTATCCCAACGACCAATTAGTAAGTTGAAGTGGCAATGGGCCGGTCATATAGCTCAAAGAACCGACAACCGATGGGAAAGAAAGGTTCTCATGTAGCAATCTCGTACTGGCACGCAAAGTGTGTGTGTCCCGACTAGATGGAGTGACGACCTGGTAAGACAGGAAGTCGGTGGATGTAGGTGGCTCAGGACCGTGCTTTGTAGCATACCTTGGGAGACTCCTGTGTGAACTTGTGCAGGGTTGTAATAAATGTTAGCATGTAATTTTATTGTACATAGATAAAAAATAAATAAAAAAATATTCTTACTATTTATTTTAGTACTCTTAACCTTCAATACTCGTATGATAACAATTCATTTAAAACGTCATGACGATATAAAATACGCCGCCAAGTCAACCCAGATAAGAAATATTTTGTCAGCTAACTCATAACAATTATATTATTTAAAAAATACCGGAAAACTGATGATAGATGTACATTACTCAATCTTTTAAAGTTGATGGGACTTTCATTACCTTTAGTCCTATTTGTTTTTAATTTTGATTATGATTAAATCATTAGTCTTTAATACATAATTGTCAAAAATTAACTTTTAATAAAAAGTAAAAGCCGATTTCATAGAATAGAAAAGAATAAAAATAATTTCACATTCTGAAGTCGGGGCTTTAAATCTCTACCTTAGCATTGGTTTCAGAATGTGAAAATTTTTGTTTTATTGAATATAATTTTTTTACTCTTTTGAGTGAAGTAAGGAATATCACAATCTATAATTCGTCTAAATAGTTGCATTAAGAACTTCATCCCCTATTTCGCCAGTCTAAGAGGTGACATTTTTTCTCCTAAATATGTATGGGAATCATCTAACTCGGATCACAATTGATGAAGATATCGCGTAACATAGGTACATAAAAACATATTGTTTTTTGACACGAAATTTAAATTTATAACGTGTAGGATCAAAAAGTTTTCATTTCGTAACTTTCTTAAGCCTCTCCATTTTTAAGAATTGAGAACTTCCCTTTTTTGAAGTCAGCTAAAGAGAAATTATATTTTATTTTTAATTCCTTAAAGTTCCTTTAAAACTTAATACATTTTTATTAAAAGTTAATTTTTTTCACCCTTTTAAGTGAACATAAATATATGATATACGTATAGGGAAGAACCACGCTCTCACAGAATACCAGCGTAAAGAAGCAGCTTAACGCTGCTGCGTTTCGTATGGTGAGTGTAGAGAACCGGAAACTCCTTTTACTGGAAACGGGGCATTCCATTTTAGTCGTTATGGGTGACAACGCATCTGCATTTTGATTCGTAGTCTAGAATAAATGTGCCACAGTAATTACTTACCATCAGGTGGAAAGTGTGCTTGATTGTCACCCTTATCCATTAAAAAATAATCACAAACTCAAGAAAACGACTACAGTGTCGTTTTAATAGTGAAAATAAAAGCTTCATCATCTATTTTGAACCCCAAAGTGTGAGAATTTTTATTCCATGGGTGGAGTTTTTGTTCAAATATGGGATCAACCATGAAGGACATACTTTATTCATTATAAAGGAATCATTTAAATTAGTTCCCCCGTTTCCGAGAACTAAATCAAATCAAAACATAGGCTTCGACTATAGAACATCCTTTTTAAAGTCAATTAAAAAGCTGTTTGTAACAATGATGAAGATGCTATGATGTCTTTTAACTGTATTACAAGTGACAAATAATGAAATGTTTACGGACGGACATGATAAATTATTGATATCGGCTTCAGTTCGACGCAGATGAATAGGGAGGCCATTTTGAATTGTCATTATCTCTATAAAATAAAAATATTTTTATTATGTTATTAAAGAAAGAAACAGATAACATTCAGATAAATTCAACTCGTATTTACGTTGCGGCATCTGAGAGATATTTATATCAAATCATCATCAAACCATCAAAATTTCAAGAGGCAAAATGTTTATACTGCTATCCGCTATCCGCGAAACGATTATGCGATAAGTTCGACAACACAATTTATTACGAGTCACGCTGTATCTGTATTGTTGACTGCAGCACGAATAGATTGGTTTGACCGGCACATGAACACGCTCTCCTAGAATATAATCGTAAACTAACATTTTTTTTATATAACATAAGAGTAACAAACGAGGACACCATCTGATGGTAAGTGGGTACTTCGGCCCATAGACATCTACATCTACATCAGTTTAAATCTATTCTCGATTAAGAATCAAAATGCAGACGCGTTGTCACGCTAGAGGACTAAGATAGAATACCTCTTATCCAGTAACATGAGTCTCCGATTCTTTTCACCCACCATAAGAAACACAACAGCATTAAGCTGCTATTTTCGCTGATTTCAATCTAACACTGATTTTGTTTAATGTGACGCTAATAATTGAATCTGAATGATAGGGTGAAAAATAGTGTGATAGAGAAAAGTGTGGTTTAGAAGATGACGTTGTGACCAGGATTATAAAAGGGTCGGAAGGGACGCCCTAGACAAGGGTTTATCGACCAAATTGGCGATACATTGAAAATGGGCCAGATTAGGAGTACCCTTAACCGACGAGCGTGTATGCGTAGATATATGGATGTAAAGGAGGCGAGAGAGGTGTGCCAGGATCGCGCCAAAAGGAAGTCCGTAGTCTCTGCCTACCCCTCTGAGTGACAGGCGTGAGTGTTTGCGTTGTGTGTTGTGTTGTGTTCTTTTTTCCATAAAATTATGTAATTTTATTTCTCATTTGCCTAAAAACAGTTGTTGTCATAAATCTTGTCATTTATGACACCAACTGTTTTTAAAATTTTGTATAACCGACTTCAATATTATAAATTATAATGGATAAAACAAAAACTACTGGTCAGACCTTGATCAAATTTCTATATGACCACATGAGAAGCACCATTTTTTAAGTCGGTTAAAAATACAACTGCGTAGCATATTTACCGGGCTCTTAATTTGTTACAGCAGAGGAAGGGACAGTTCCAGCTATGGAGCTGGAGGGAGACGCATCTAACACACTAACGGACAACCTCAATACAAACACCAATAATATATCTGGCACAGAAGTACCAGAGAACAAAAATGGAAACGCCAAGGTGCTGCAAAGACTTGATACCGTACCAGATATAAAGAGAGACACATCGGGTATCACTACGCAGTGTATCGCTGCTGGCATAGGTAATTCCTGCATGCTCATTCCATTTTATTACAAAAGTCAAAGTCAAAGTTGCAGCGTATAATACGTCCCACTGCTGGCCACAGGCCTCTCATTTCTGAGAGGGTTTAAAGGCAAGGGAAAGTCCGCTGGGCTGCCCTAATGCGTGTTGGCAAACTTCTCATGCTTCGACTTTTTTCTTATTTCTCAGACATACAGGTCTCCTCGCGATCTTTTCCTTCATAATTGATGAAGATACAATTTAAATGGTGCCGGCGGGCATCGAACCCGGGTTGCTCGTGTACTGTGAAATTTACTAAGAGCGCTTAGTCACTGAGCTACCACGGCTCTATTCTTTTACAGCAGCGATTTAAAAAAAACACATACATATAAATGTAAAATATTATTGTTATTTACAGTAAATCTCGGATCATTTGCTGCCGGCGTGTGCACAGCGTGGTCTTCTTCAGCGTTGCAGTTGATGACAATTACGACAGAGGTACTATATCTTGTTCTTGTTAGCGCCGTGTAGTGTTGGTTTTTTTTATAGAATTAGGGTTACAAACGAGCACACAGTCCATCTGATGGTAAGTGGTTACTGTGGCCCATAGACATCTAAATCTACCCTCGATTACGAGTCAAAATGCAGATGCGTTGTAACCCCTGAGGACTAAGATGGGATGCTTCGTTTCCAGTAAAAAAAGGATCTCCAGTTCTCTACACTCACCATACGAAACACAGCAGCGTTATGCTGGTATTCTGTGAGAGTGTGGTCCTTCCCCGGTCGAACCCGACCCATTCGTGCTACAACTATAATAGTAATATAACTGCAGCATGGCACTACCACGTTAAAAATATTCACTACACTATATCTTCCTGTAGGTTTTTTTAAAAGGCAACACAGGGAAGCAAGTCAGAAGATGGGTAGCAGCATTTCCCTGATAACAGCTAGGAAAAAACGACAGTTGCCAACCGCCTGCTAACTACGGCCACAAAATTATCATTCTTATTACAATCAGTGAGAACTTAATAACAATTACAACATAGTTTTCAAATTCGCCGATCGAACTTAACGTTGTAATGGCGTAGTGGATCCGTTAATATCCGTGGATAGTTTTCAAAAATATTGAGACAGATTTATTTGACATTCAATTTTTAAAGGAGAAAGAAAACAAATAAGACGCAAGATTGAAAACGAATACATATATATATATATATATAGATTCAGCACAGAACTGCGGCATCTATCGTAAGAAAAATCTTAAAATATTTTATTTTATATTAAACATAAATCAAACCTTCTATGATGTCAAACACAAGTCATTCATAAAATAGCGGCCTCAAGATGTCATCACTTGTAAGTTGTAATAAATGTAAAAAAACAATTGAAGCTAAAAATTCACTGCTATGTTTGATATGTAAGAAATATTATAAATTTGATTGTATTGGATATTCTGAAAAACTATATCGCTTAAAAGATGTAGAAACTAGAAAAAATTGGAATTGTAAAGCATGTAAGCAAAGGTCAACAGGACCATCTACACCTGTTAATGATCCATCCTACGTTACAATTAGAAAAAAATACTCCTTATCTGGCTCGAGTGGAACTACGACACCTACGACAGTGATGTCAAAAATGAGTGAATCAGCGATGCATGACTCCCACATATTAACCACTCTTCACTCACCAGAGGATTCCCAGATTACACATTGTCAAATACTATCACGGTTTTATGAATTCACAAATACTGATTCAATTACGGTTCAGGAAATGAAGAATACAATAAATAATTTACAGTCAGAGATCGCAAGTACGCAAAATGATCTAGATAATACTCTAATTGAAAACAATGACCTTCGGAGACGAATCACAAAATTAACGCAAGAAAATAATCTGCTAAAAACTCTTTGTCAATCACCAATAAATGATAAACAAATGAAACACAACAAATAAGAAAAATATTCATTCTACTCATTTCAAAGTTTTATATTCGCCATCAACTCCTACGCCCTCAAAAATATCCGAAATAAATGAAATAGACAATGTATTTGAATCTGAGACATGTGTTATCTTGAAACAAAGAAGTTCGGAATTAGAACAACAATTAAAAAATGCTGAAAATGACATCAAAACCCTTAATGAAAAATTCAAATATTGGAACACAAAATATCTTCAGAGAATGTATGGTCTTCAAACAAACCTACACAATACTCTTATACGGTTGCCGACATCAGAAAACAATGTGATAACTGCAATAAAATATTTATCTTTGGCACACAACAATGCATTGCTCTAGCTTCTGCTTTAATACGCTCAAGAGCAAATACGGCTTATGAAAAATATACCATTGATTCGGAAACAAAACCACATGCACTCACGCCCGATGTGCTAAAAAATATCCAAAATACGCAGGTAGCCTCAAATGATAAAATTATAGTGTGTGTGGGAGAAAATGATTACGACCTGAAAATACTATCTTCACAAATATACGCATTAATTAACTGCTACAAGTCAAATAGTATACTAGTCTTAAGTTTGCTTAAAAATAAGTACATAGGTATGCGTCAAAGATTTAAATAATACTTTAGAAAATATTTGTAGTAAATTTGAAAATTGTCATTTTGTGACTTGTATGCCCAATAATTTATATTTTATGTGTAAAGCAATAAATTCTGTAATTGACTATACTGATTATAAGAACAAATCTCTAAGTGTCAAGCAATTAAAAAAATATATATTTCGGTGTAATAATAAATCGATATTATTATCTAATAAATCGAGCAACTCCATATATCAAAAAGGAACAATTCCCTATTATTTTGCTCGAATGAAATCGAGTATAACTGTATCAGGTGTGACTAATAGCAATAATTTTTATGATAATAATACGGCGCCTAAAGGTACAATATCGTATTACTTTAAAATAATAAATAAAAAACATTTTTTTCGGGAATAATAATAATACAAATAAGATTTATTTTAAAATATTACATCAAAATATTGGTAGTATATTACCAAAACAAGATTTATTAGTGTTAACATTGGATGAATTAGATAAGGCAGGAAAGGCCCCTGATGTCATATGTCTTTCAGAAACGTTCTTGAGTAATGATCATGAAAAATACTTAAACATTGATAGTTACGAATTAGCCAGCTCGTTCTGTAGGGATGAGTCAAGAGGCGGTACGTGTATCTTAGTGAAGCGAGATATTGAATATAAAAACGTTTATTTACGTTTACGTTATATAAATAGTTTAGCAACGCAAAAGATAGTTGAAGTTTGTGTTATTGAGATTCCTCTTTATAATTTGTGTATAATTTGTCTCTATAGAATTCCTTCTACAGACGCAATTTTGTTTTTGGACAAGTGAGACGGAATGTTACGTGAAATATTTAAAAACATTAATCCTAATACTAAACTTGTTATTGCTGGTGATCTGAATATAAATACTCTTAAACCAGGAAAAGCCAACACTTATCTGCATGATTTATGTCATAATAAGATATTGAATCCATACTCCGATATGGTATAATAGTGTGGGGTAATAGCACAGATTGGCGTAGGGTATATATCGCACAAAAATGTGCATAAGGACGATATGTGGTATCTCAACAAGAGAATCTTGTAAGCCAAGATTCAAAAATCTTTGCTTACTGACTCTACCATCGTTATACATATTTGAGATAGGTAAATTTGTAAAACAGCATACAGCTTTATTTAAAAAGTCCTGTGATGTTAATCCAAGGCTTAAAAGAAATCCGAATAGGTTAGTTCTAAGCGAAGTTCTGAAATCAACTGAATATAATGTTTCATGAAAGCACTTTGTTCATTCTTAAGGCCGTCGCACCACTTCAGGTCCTTCCAACCTCTTTCCAGAAGAGTTTGGAGTTCTCTTTAAAGTTGTGCGACAACCTTTCGTCCGCTTCCATTCTACATCTTTCACGCACTTCCTCAATCAATGTTTTCGTATGAACTTTCTGCAGCTTATATCTTTCTTTCATCTTCTCTCATATCCTTATCATTACTAGAGGCCAAGTAGTCTAAACATTCTTTATTCTTCTTCTTTACAGCTTCTTTCACTTCATCATTCCACCATGCATCTCTTCTTTTACTACTACCTCTTTTTATCGTTCCACACACTTCTTCCGCTGCACTTACCATTCCATCCCTAAGGTTCTGCCATGTTCTTTCCATACATTCTTTTCGGCCATCGATGGTGTCAAGCTTTTCGGCTACCCTCGCATGATATTTGTCCCTAGTATCCGCTTCCTGAAGCTTCCAGCTTCGGATGCGACAGACCGACTGTGGTTCTGTCACTGCCATCCGGTAGCGCCAACCCGCGAACAGACCCCTAAATCTAGTAATCACTAGATAGTGATCCGTTCCCAGGTCAGCACCCCTGAACACTCGCGTATCCATCACCTGTTTTCGTAGTCGGTCATCCACCAGGAAAAAATCGATTATACTTCTCTCATTCTTTAGTATTCATAGTGTTTGTCACAAGAAGACCCTTTTCCTTGCATACAGCCAGTATAAGCTTGCCAGCATCATTAACCCTTTTATCGCCAAACTTTCCAAACACCGACTCGTACCCTGGTCGAGCGGTAACAACACATCCATTCAAATCACCACATACAACAATTATTTTGTTTCCCCTAACTAAATCTAGAACTTCTCTTACATTCTCCCAAACTCCTCTAGCTCAGCCCTGGACGACGAAGCTACCGGAGCATAAACAGCCAAAAGGAATAAATCAAAAATTGATTTATTCCTTTTGGCTGTTTATGGATAAAGGAATAACTTCGTCAGTCCCAATTTAAAGCTAACCCAGAGAAGTCTTGAGTTTACAACCTTATATTCAGTCATAACATCGACCAATCGAGACGACAGCAGCATCCCTATTCCCTGGCAGGCGCTCTCGCTCTCCGGGACTCCGGACCATAGAGTTAACGTCCCGCCAGGGAGCTCTTCAGTACCACTGCTCTTTCGTTTGGTCTCCGACATACACACGACATCTAATTCTCTTTCTTTCATTATTTCGATCAGCTCATTCGTCTTATCTCTCATGCCTCCTCTAACATTGCCAACGTGCCAACTCTGCACTCTGTCCTCCACCTTCCGCCGTGTTGGGCTGTGCGTGACGGGTGGCGGTCCCCATCGCCGCTTTGCGCGCTGCATTTCACACCAACGGGGATGAGCTGGTGTGCGTCGCCTTGGGGGACGCCCTAACCCTCGTTGGCATGGGTGCGCAGCTGTGTAGAATTGCAGCCCTGAAAAGGGCTGGCAGGGGTCGCGACGAACACGCTTCTACAATGACCCCAGTTCAACTGTTATTGTTACATATTAAGTTCTATTGTAAACCGGCACTTAAAATTGCAATTTAAGCGCCGGTGCCACGGCCCTAATCACTCCTAAATGAGAGGAAGCCTGTACCCAGCAGTGGGACGTATAATTAATAAAAAGTGCCTTCACAAGAATACAGGATATCGTGAGTGCA